CAAGGAGCAATGGGCTCAAGTTGCAGCAAGGGAAGTTTAGGTTGGATATTAGGAAAAAAAACCTCTCTCATTAGGAGGGTAATAAAGCACTGGAACAGGTTACCCAGAAGGATGGTGGAATCTCCATCCTTGGAGGTGTTCAAGACCCTGCTAGACAACACCCTGGTTGGGAAGATCTAGTTGAGGCTGGTCCTGCATTGAGCAGAGGGTTGGTCTTGATGGCCTCCTGAGGTCCCTTCCAACACTAATTTTCTATAATACCGCTTACTTGCATCCAGCTTACCAAACAAACCAAATCACTGTGTTGGTGGCTTGTCACCTTCACAATATACTGTCATCAGCTCTGTGCTATTTGCAGACTTTATCAGTATTTTCTTCTACATTCAGTGATATAAATAAGGTAGGACAAACAGGGCAACTGCCCTGGGCACTGACTTGGTGAAGTAGGGAATGAGTGGGGGCAAAAAAAGTGGTTGCTCTATAATCATTATCATGGTCACAACAACAACTGGAAATCATCATTGCCCCCATGCTCCAAGCATCCACCCATGTCCTTACACTGCTGTAGATCATATTTCCTTGAATAGTATGGGGACAACAACAGATTCTTGGAGTTTTGTACGTATGTGTAAAATCTCCCCTTTCAAAAATGTATTTTTAAACAAGGAACAGTGATTGGTCAGCCAGCTTTTAATACACATTATATAAGCCATATTGCCTTTTTTCTACAAGGAACTTATTTATAATGGCATATGATCCTTCATCGGGAGATTTGCAGAAGTCCAGGGTTATGTCAACACTTACTCTGTATCAGTCAATCTTGTAATAACGTTGAAGTACTAAGTTAGTATCACAGGATCTGGTTTCCATAAACCAATGCTGACAGACATTTAATTATGCCACTGTGAAGTCCTGCATTTCATACGCCTGAATCAAAGGGGATTCAACATTAACAAAAATTACATAAACTACTCTGAATATTGATTTACCTATTTTCTACAATTACTGTTACACTTTTATTTTATTTGTTTTTTTGCTAACTTAATTCTTTGTTTAAGACAGGCTTCCTTTAGACACTGAAACCTTCTTTCTTGATTGTGCCTTTTGGGTATCTTGTAACTTCTCTCATTTGGCTACCTTTTCTAGATTGCAAATTCTCCAGCATGGAACTGCATTGTGCAATGAGTGCCTACAGTGCCTGGCATGACATGGCCACAGCTTTGGTTGGCCAACTACTCTAATGCAGAAACAAGATGCGGTAGAAAGTCTCATTCAAAAGCCTGTGCAGAAGACTAGAGAAAGTGCTCTAATTACTTTAAAGGCTTGGATAGGATAAGGACAGTTGTATTTGCCTTTAAAAAAAGACTGAGTTCTGTTTCCTCTAGCGGGATGTGTGATTAAGCTGTTCATTTTTTCCTCCCATTTTTGTGCGCTAAATCCAGTCATGTTACAAGCAGACCTAGCTCGGAATAGAAATGAGTGTGCCTGCTTGCACCACGGCGTAAACCTGCCTCGAGTTGAGGTGAGAACTGTATTTCTAGCACCTGTAATGAAGCCTAGCACCTCTTAGGCAGTAGCACATATCTTGTCTTAGAGTTGTCTGTTTGAGACATTGTGGTACTTGATGCCAGATGTAGCTGTGTTAGAGATGTGGTTTTCTCACTTTTTAAACAGCACGGAGTTACCAATTAAAATAAAATATGGTTGGTAGCTATACTATTGTGATGAAGTGAGTCATAATAACTTGAAATTGCCTGTGATAAAATTTTTAGGGTTTTTTAACAAGAAAGTATATGTACTTGCATGAGTTCTGGGAGTGCGCCTTCTCTGTTTTAAGAGGGTGTTTAAGTCATTTGGAAACCTAATGGATATATCTTTTAATAGAATCCGAGAGCCTGTTTCAGCTTCCTCTGTAAGAAATAATGAAGACAACAGGGTGAAACAACCTTCTCTTTTCTTGATTCAAAGGGTCTGTGTCTCTATGGATTAGAGGTTAGATCATTTCAGCCCATTCCCTCAAAGTCAAATATTTTTAGTAATAGGTGGCAGTCTTCTCCTTCTAAAGGGCCTTCAGCAGGCCCAGTCAACAAGAAAATAGTCTTATTTGTAGACATAACTTGTTGTCTAAACTTGATGCCAGTCTGCCAGGTATTTATGCCATGCCATGCCATGCCATGCCTTTTGCAAACTGACCCACTGACTCTTAGCAAAAATGACACAGTTTGAACAGCTTTGCAAAATATGTTTATCTTTGGTATATAATTTAGTTGTATTTACACACATTTTTAGTATTCAGCTTGGTCCCCATGTGAACAATAGCATGTTTAAAGAGAAACCTCACTATCTTACAGTACTGGGATAATCCCATGTGCTTGTATGGATGCTACCCATTCCTGTAGCTAGATCCTCTAGCAAAATGTTGATTAAACTCCCCTTCCTAGAGAGAACTATGGTTTCATTGTTTACATTAATTTTATGGACCAACTTGGCACTCATGGGGGGGGTGGGAAGTTACTAGAAAAAAGCCAAATACCTTACTGTACTGTTCAAGCTTCCCTATCCATTTTTGCCAAAGTCCTAGATTGCTTCATCCTAAAGTTTGTGCACTCTGCTCAGCACCCTTCCAGGTATTTCCTATGGCCAAATGGCTGGAAGGTACTGCCAGAAATCAGCATGTTGATGGCTAAGATCCTAAAGGCAAATGTCTCATGCAGACCAAGACACTGCAGCCTTATGGATCGCACAGTGCAGTAGGATTTGCCTTGCTGTGTATTGTACAGCAACACTGCCTTTATAGGCAGTAAAAATAAAAATATTGGGGTGACCCCAACATGCAGTCAACACAGACAACTGCATTTATATCCATAGGGTCCAGTTTGCACACATTGTTTTAAGATATTTGAAGGAAAAGACCAGGGTGGTGCCTTTGTACTACCCCTGAGCAAAGGCATTCCCAAAGCTGTCTAGCACTAGAGACATTGTGCCAGGGATATACTCCTTTGAGGGCAGAATTACTTCACTGAGAGGACCCCTGCCTCTCTCCCTTGCATCCCGTCACAACTCCATGGCCTCCATTCCTATGTTTCACTTTCATAGCTCTAGTTTTCTCTTTGCCCACATTTGTGATCCCAGCAGGTCTAAGGCAGCTATTGAAGGAGGTGAAGGGGATTTCCTTGGTTTCCCTAGAAGGCAGTCTTGGATCAAGCCATGCCATGAATCAAGCCATACATTTGAACTCATGCCTGTTCCATTGTCAGGCTTCCATTTATTGCAGTGGAAGCAGAAATTCTGACCTCTGGAGCAATAAACCATGATCAGCCAATATCTTGGATGCCTGCCACACTTTGATCTCACCAGCGGATGTGGGTATTTTGCATTTCACAGGGTCAAGCCCATAATCACCATTTCAGTTCTGTTTTTGTATCCCAGTAAGCAAACATTGTATGCTCAATGTTTGCTGTACAATGAAATATTAATATTGCCCAGAACTTTACATGCTCCTTTCTTAGAAAGAAGAAAGGTACAGTAAGAGACACTTAAGCTTCTCCTACACAACTTCAATCCCTGCTAAAAGTTTAAAGACATTATGAATTTATGTGCTAGCATATGTTTAATAGTAAAATAGATAAGCACCTCTTCAACACTTTGACCCACCTGCTGTTGAATCGCACCTTCCTTCAACAGTTAGTCCATTGCCCTCTCACATTAGCTCCTTAAATATAATTTAATTTTGGAGTTCCTTTGCTGGAGTCAACTGCATGAAAAAAGGCATCACAAGAGTTAAAAAAAAAACAAAAAAACCAAAACCCAACAATGCTTGTGTTTGGGATGGTTCTGCCTCAGGCAGGGCTTGGAGTAGGGTTTCCTTCTGTCCTTCTCTATGATATGAGCATCAGCTTTCAGACCAATTTTATATTAGGTCAAGATAAATGAGGTTCAATACAATTACTAAAAGTGTTTTTGGGAGGGAAAGGGGGAAAAATTTCACCCTAGCATTAAATTAGATTAGCAGTTCAGTTGCCTAGACAGCACTGGAAAGGCAAGTTTTGTCTTGTCGGCTACCCTGGTAAGTGAGTGCAAACAAGCAATGAAGAGATTCAAGAGCAATACCTCACTTAGTCATTTCTGGAGTATTTATAGAGGCACTACTTACTGAAGTTTCAAGTTTCAATTTGCAACATCTCCTGTCACAGCTGGATTACATGGGTTACGCTGTGGTGGATGAGTAGTTGGTCTGTGAGCAAAAAAAGTCTAAGATGGTTTAATTACATGTGTTATCATATTAAAATAACTGCTGCATAATAGGTGGCAATTACAAACACTGAATATGAGAACCAAGTGAGCAGTGCTGGCCTTAGGGGTGGGTGACATAGGTGACCGCTCAGGGCATCGTGGTCAGGGGGGCACCCGTCTCTGTCTCTGTCTCTCCTAAACTAAATATTCCCTCCTGTGCTAAACTATCTGGTATAGAAAACTATATCACATAACTGTCAGGTGTGAGAACATTTGTGTTGTGCGAACATGCGTCTCAATGTGAGGAAAAAATAGTTCTCCTCCCTTTCTCACAATATTGAGTGCAGAAAACTATCTGGAAACAAAAAACAAATTAATTTCTATAGGAGTTTTACCAGAAGATTCTGGGGCCTGTTTTTGTGAGGTTTGCTGATTAGTGAAGTAACACCAAACTCTATAATTAAGTTGGTTTTCAATAAAACCACTAAAGGCTTAAGGTTGGCAGAACTGGTAACTGAGTTAAGATTTCAGGATGTGGCCCATTGACACCCTCGTAGTGAATGGGAATATATAAATTTGCCAGCTGACATCTAGAAATTTGCCCTCTAAGCCAAACATTCCCAACAACTTCAATATGAAAGGCTGACAAAGTTTATTTCATGTGTGATTTTTAGCTATTATTTGTTTATATGTGTTTTGCACTTTGTAGGACTAAGGCTAAGTTCTGACTTCAGTGGGTACAAGCTAATCAATTTGCTTTTCCATAGGATGGTTCAGATCCCTGGCTGCTAGAATAACTTCATTGGAATTACATGTCTGCCTCTAGAGAACCTCACCCAAATTGAATCTTGACATTGAATCCATTCTACTGTTTGCTAAGAATCCAAATATTTCTGTTGCACTGACTGGGTAGGTTGCTATTTTCTGTAGCAAAAATACTGCTAAAGATAGACTATCTTCAAATTCCTATTTTGACTTCTTTTGTAGATTCTTGTCTCAATAAGCAGCATTTTTTCCTCTTCCAAGGACTCTGTTGACATACTTATAGTTCATTTGTTTTTTTAAGGAATTGGGTATTTTTGCAAACACTCTCCACTTGACATCTATTACATTTTCTGTCTCATCTTTCACTGGTGCTATTTGTAGCCAGGGTGGAATCAGAATCAGAGAACGTTGCAAGCATTTGTTTCGCATTAGCTTGCTGTATTTTTGCCATGACTTATTTGTTTAGCTTTTAATCCCCCACTCTTATGTCTACTTCAAGTGTCTGGACTGCATGCTGTTAAGAGGAGCTTCAGTCCTGGGCAGGAAGTATTGCTGACTGTGCAACTTGTAAATACAGGCAAATGCTCATGTTTTGATTGGCCCCTCTATGCAGAGGAAAACAAAGATTGGCTGAGGTTTCCATCTACTTTTTTGCGCTCCCCTCCCACATTTTGCTGCCCATTGAAAATAGTGCAACTCCCACCACTGCTTGATGGTGTCAGAAGCAACCAGAAAAACCAAGCCACTCATGGCCTTTCCAGTGCAGTCAGCAGTGCAAAGTGGCAGCAGGTTAGGTGCAATCCTCCCTTTCTTCCCTCAAAAAATATAAGGTCAAAATACTACAAAGTAGACAACTCTGTCTTGAGAAACTAAACAAGCCTCTTTAAATGTCAGACCTGTACTGTATCATACTTCTTTTTTTCTTTTTATTTCCTTTTGACCCTATTTTCCTTTAGGTCTACATTTTATATTACCAGCTCAGTGCCAGCTAAAATGCATTTTATAAAATGCGGAGCAGTAAGGTTGCACCTGTAAAAGTTGCCAAACAAAAGTATCGTAGGAAAGTTGCTTATCTCCAAGACACGTGATTAGCTGTGGGCCGTGGCAATTAAACAACTAGTGGGGAGAGGAAAATGAGGGATTTCTTTGTTAACTGATAGCATGAATATACAAACAAGAGAGAATAATGGCTTTATTTTTCTTAAGGAAATAGACTGTTGTCTTACTTCTGTAAATCAAACACAGGGGTCATGTAGAAAGGCTGAACCAATTAATCCCATGAGCGAGCCAATAGTTTATATTGACAGCTCAAGATAAGAGTTAATTGAATCTCCAATATATTAAATCTGATCTATTTTATTATATTTGCTTGAGCTGACTCAATGCATACACATGAAAGGCGTTTCCAAGGGTCACATTGCAAAGGAAGCTAACATTGGCAGAGTGGCTGTATCACTTGGAAAGTGAGGGCGGGAAGGTGAAACATGTTTCTTCTCACTTATTCTGATAAGTTTACAAAAGCAAGCAGAGTTTAAAGAGCTTATTTATCTTGCTTAAAAATATCTAAAGCCATTACATATGAGAAGCCTCTACAACCCATCTCCTACAGCAACAAAAATGTGCATGTTAAAGAGCGCTGGCTGAATGCTTAATCTGGGAGTAGAAACCCTGGTTGTAACAAAGAGTCCTGGGGACTTGTATCTAAATTAAACTGGACCTCAGTTGGTAGAAGCACCATCCACAATCTACAGTACTTATCCTTCCTGCATGTGGCATGTGCTGTCTCCAGGGGCTGGCAGTGAGGTCCTTCACAATACCTGTGAAAGGAAATGTCTCCTCTGGAAAATGGGCTGTTTAGGACTGTCTTCTGTTGCTTTGGCCAATATACCTGTTTAAAGGGGCTGTACAGGTGTGAAAGGTCTCAGCATGTTTCTTCTTGATGAGTGGTCAAAGTCTATTTTAGTATGTATCTTCTTATGAGTGCAGAGGTGAGCTGTTCATCATGGCTAAGAACAGACGGTCAAAAAGCCCGATGTTGAATCAATTCAGTCTTTGCAGGTTAGTCTAAGTTTCAGAGATTAAACTGACTAGCAAGTGAACAGACAGTTATTTTTCACAGCCATATGCCTGCAGTGACTCAGGCCAGAAGCTGGGAGCGGGGCAGGTGCTAGAGCATGGTGTAGCCAGCATGGGCTGTTTTTTGCTTTCTCTTTCTGCTACCCTTGAGGTCTCTGGGATTTGCAGTCCATAATTACAGCAGGAGGACTCTGCAGGGTTGCTCGTCATCACTTCCTCCTCTTGTTTCCAGGTGCTGCTGGGATGTGTAGTCCACAGTCACAGCCAACAGTAAGTTTAGCAGGGCAGTTCTCCTCACCCCCACCCCCAAAGGGAGGGGGGTTTAACCCTCCTCCCTGGCCTCAGGCCCCAGCTAGGTTTTGCCTGGGGAGGGGCAGTACCTACCCTGCCCCCAACCCTTCGCTGCTGGAGCAGGCAGCACAACCCAGCCCCAGGCTGGAAAGCATGCTGAGATGCTGGGGGACTGTGATATAACTTAAATGAGGAAGGAGTCTGGGACAGAAATTTCATAAACCAGTTTGACCCAAATCAGTTAAGTCTAATACTACATTCAACCAGGTTTATCTTAAACAAGTTTTAGCTATGTCAAAACTGGTTTATATGCACTGAACTTCTGTTCTGTTACAGGTTTAAACCAGTTTCTGATCACTTAAACCAGTTTACGTATAACTTCTGTCCCTACGGCATAGCATTGGCCTGGATGCAAATACTCTACTGATCTCTGAAAAAGCAACCTTATGCTGGCTATAGGACAAGCTGGCATTTAGGTATTTTTGAGAATATGATGCATTATAAATCTGTTCAATTCGATCTCCAAATACTTGATCCAAATTTCCTGAAAGTAAATGGATGAATCTGAGCTCTACGTCTGGCCCATAAAACTGTGTGCACACTTTGAGAGGTTAATAATCTTGCAAAGGGCTGGACTGTAAACGTTCAACTAAAGAGAATCCTTAATTTTTAACATCAGATTTAAACTCTGGCATGGTTCTTGGAACTCCTGTCACCTTTCCAATAAACTGACAGGATATTCAATGTTTTGAGGGGATATTTATTGCCAAATAATTCTAAAGGCCTCCCTGAGGCTATAGGCAATCTTGTCCAATGTCTCTTATGTGCAAGGTTCCTACTTGTAATGCTTCCTCCCATATTCTTTGTCTCTCCCTCTCTGGGTCTATGTGATGTATCTTGTTTTTTTGTTTTTGTTTTTTTTTTAATGGATTTATCTAAAACTCCAAACTTCTGTAGCATAGTCTCTCCAGTACTGTAAAGTTTCAGGATCCCCCTTGTTGCAAAATTGCATCCTATAAAATTCCAGATCATGGTTTAGAATTACATGTTAACTATAAAACAGGCTGACCACACATTCCAGTTGAACTGGGACAGTCCCAGATTTTGGAAGCTGGTCCCAGACAGCTGGTGCGAATTAAAATG